ATTTATATCGTTTCAGATGTACTGTTGAGCATGCTCGTGGAGCTCCTCGAGGTGATGATAGACGTGATGGTGGTAGAGATAGGGGGTTTAGGGACTATCCTCCACCACGTAGTCGACGAGGAGGAAGAGATAAGTAAGACAAACTTCAGTGCTGCATGACAAACAGTAGTCTACTGTATTTTATGGTTGGACAAACTTCATCAACCAATGCTTTGTTTTTATACGACCGCAAAAAAATTTTTGTGGTCGTATAAATAGTATGACGTCGTCGTCGTCGTCCGAAGACACATTAGTTTTCGCACTCTAACTTTAGTTTAAGTAAATGGATTTCAATGAAATTTTACCATAAGGTTCAATACCACAAAAGGAAGGTGGGGATTGATTTTGGAGGTTATGGTACCAACAGTTAAGGAATTAGGGCCAAAAAGGGGCCAAAAATAAGCATTTTTGTAACTTCCAGACATAACTTGTGTGTAAGTGTATGGATCTCTCTGACATTGTACCACAAGGTTCCATATCACAAAGGGAATGCTGGGATTGATTTTGGGGGTAATTGCCTCCAAATTTTAGGAATTAGGGGCCAAAAAGGGGCAAAAAACAAGCATTTTTCTAGTTTCCAGACAATAACTTGTGTGTAAGTGTATGTATCTCTCTGACATTGTATCACAAGGTTCCATATCTCAAAGGGAATGCTGGGATTGATTTTGGGGGTAATTGCCTCCAAATTTTAGGAATTAGGGGCCAAAAAGGGGCAAAAAACAAGCATTTTTCTAGTAACATGACAATAACTTGTGTGTAAGTGTATGGATCTTTATGAAATTGTACTACAAGGTTCCATATCACAAAGGGAAAGCTGGAATTGAGTTTGGGGGTAGTTGCCCAAAAAGTTTAGGAATAAGTGGCCAAAAATAAGCATTTTTGTAGTTTCCAGACAATAACTTGTGTTCAAGTGTATGGATCTCTCTGAAATTGTACTGCAAGATACCATACCACAAAGGGAAGGCTGGGATTGATTTTGGGGGTAGTTCCCTCAAAATTTTAGGAATTAGGGGCCATAAAAGGGGCAAAAAACAAGCATTTTTCTAGTTTCATGACAATAGTTTGTGTGTAAGTGTATGGATCTTTATGAAATTATACTGCAAGGTTCCATATCACAAAGGGAAAGCTGGGTTTGAGTTTGGGGGTAATTGCCCTAAACGTTTAGGAATTTGGGGCCAAAAAGGGGCCAAAAAACAAGCATTTTTCTAGTTTCCAGACAATAACTTGTGTTCAAGTGTATTGATCGCTCTGAAATTGTACTGCAAGGTACCATACCACAAAGGGAAGGCTGGGATTGAGTTTGGGGGTGATGAGTCATAAGGGGGTTCAAAAAATTTGGGGGGGGGGGTTTCCTTTTTTTTCTTTAAAATTTTCCATTTTAAATTGGTTATTTCTGATTAATATATAAAAGCAAAAAATAATGATATGGTTTGAATAGGTAAATTAAAAAATTTTAAGTTCTTACACAACTTTCATTCTGTGTCAGAAACCTATGCTGTGTCAAATATTTAATTACAATCCAAATTCAGTGCTGTATCAAGCTTGAATGTTGTGTCCAAACTTGCCCCAACTGTTCAGGGTTCTACCTCTGCGGTCGTATCAAGCTGCGCCCCAGCGGAGCATTTTATTTTGCCTTCGTCATAGCGGAGGGGGCATCAAGTTTTAACCACGTCTGTCCGTACATCCATACGTCTTTTCATCCTGAAATTGGTTTCTGTTCTCTAACATTAGTTTGCCTCAACCAAATGTTATTAACTTAAACACAATGCTCATTACCACAAAACACAGATCAAGTTTGAATTTGGCTGGCTTCACTTTTACCTTTCTTGAGTTATTTACCAATGGAAAAATTGCTGAATTTTTCATTTTCGTTTTCTAATTTTAGTTTGCCTCGAACAAATGTTATGAATCTTATGCACAATGCTTATTACCACAAAACACAGATCGAGTTTGAATTTTGGTAGTGTCACATTTACCATTCTACTAGAGTTATGTCCCTTTACAAATGGAAAAATTGCTGACTTTTTCGTTTCCGTTCTTTAACTTAAGTTTGCCTCAACCAAATGTTATGAAACTTATACACAATGCTTATTACCACAATACTCAGATCAAGTATGAATTTGGTTAGCATCACTTAGATCAAGTATGAATTTGGGTAGCATCACTTTTACAGTTCTTGAGTTATGTCCCTTTATAACGTCATATGCAAGCGGAGGCATCATCGGTGTCCCATGGACACATTACCGACTTATTATTTTCTGTACCTAAGAAGTTAGTCAATCTGCACAGTATTTCATTGATATACTAGTCCATGGTAATGGATCAATATTTTGGCTGATAAGAATGAATTGGGTTTAAGTAGAACATTCAGACAGTCCCTTTTCTGCCACCAAAACAGTGAACAATTAATATTTAGAGAAATAGTAATTTGGATCAGCTTATCTTGGGAGAGCTTTCTTTTGTACAGTCAGTTACAAATTGAAGCTTATCTTTAACAGAATTTTTTTACTGTATGCTACTTATAACATGATAACGGATGAATAAGTTTCTGACATCCCTGAATATTTATATATACTGTGTATGGGTTGTATATGTATATATATTGTCCTACATATGCATGAAATAACTGCCATTGGACATTAAGCAAACAAAAATCAATCAATCTTATTAGACAAAACTTGTTTATGTTGAGGTCATATAGTATGTACATGTAAGATGTACATAAATTAACCAATATTCTTCAAGGCAAAGCATACTGTTGATGATGTTCAAAATTTTATTTTATTTTGTTGAGAAAAACGTCATTTAATTTAAATTGAATACCATAGATTTCTTGTCATGTGACCTGATATTACATAAATTTCATTTTTACTAAAAGATTTAGTACCATTACTTGATACATGAATACAAGACTAAAAGATTTTTTGAGAAAAATCTGATTTTACAACATCAGTCATAAACAGGAAAAAATGTTTAGATACTGTAAGATCTTGACTGATATTCCATGTTTTATAAAAAAAGTAACTAATAGAATGTAGTTTTAAATTACAAATTTTCAAGAATAAAAGTGCAAAAATTTGCTTTTAATATAGGTGTAAATGAATGATGTGGTATTATCTAACAATGACTTTTTTGAATTATAGTTATAGAAGGGGCTTTGGACAGAACAACAGTGCTGACAGGTACAGTATTATATATTTTACATAGAAAATTATTGGCTCTTGTAAGCAGATTCCTTATTATTAGTCCTTCTGTTTGATATCTTGTTATTTCAGTTGTGGGACACCTCATCACTGTAGGGTTTTTTTTATTTTTAATGACCCCGCCGTAGCGGTGGGGGCATTAAGTTTTACCCTTGTCCGTCTGTACATCCCAAAATTGGTTTCCGTTCTCTAACTTGAGTTTACCTCAACCAAATGTTATGAAACTTATACACAATGCTTATTACCACAAAACACAGATCAAGGATTGAATTTTGGTGGCGTCACTTTTACTGTTCTAGAGTAATGCCCCTTTACAAATGGAAAAATTGCTGAATTTTTCGTTTCCGTTCTCTAATTTTAATTTGCCTCAACCAAATGTTATGAAACTTATACACAGTGCTTATTACCACAAAACACAGATCAAGTTTGAATTTTGGTGGCGTCACTTTTACCGTTCTAGAGTTATGCACCTTAAGAAATGGCAAAATTTTTATTTTCTTCTAAATATCAAGTAATTTTTATACGACCGCAAAAAAATTTTTGTGGTCGTATATTGGTATGACGTTGGCGTCAGCGTCGTTGTCCGAAGACACATTAGTTTTCGCACTCTAACTTTAGTTAAAGTGAATGGATCTCTATGAAATTTTACCATAAGGTTCAATACCACAAAAGGAAGGTGGGGATTGATTTTGGGGGTTATGGTACCAACAGTTAAGGAATTAGGGGCCAAAAATAAGCATTTTTGTAACTTCCAGACATAACTTGTGTGTAAGTGTATTGATCTCTCTGACATTGTACCACAAGGTTCCATATCACAAAGGGAATGCTTGGATTGATTTTGGGGGTAATTGCCTCCAAATTTTAGGAATTAGGGGCCAAAAAGGGGCAAAAAACAAGCATTTTTCTAGTTTCCTGACAATAACTTGTGTGTAAGTGTATGGATCTTAATGAAATTGTACTATAAGGTTCCATATCACAAACGGAAAGCTGGGTTTGAGTTTGGGGGTAATTACCCAAAGAGTTTAGGAAAAAGGGGCCAAAAATAAGCATTTTTCTAGTTTCCAGACAATATCTTGTGTTCAAGTGTATGGATCTCTCTGAAATTGTACTGCATGGTACTATACCTCAAAGGGAAGGCTGGGATTGATTTTGGGGTAATTCTCCAAATTTTAGGAATTAGGGGCCATAAAAGGGCAAAAAAAAAAAGCATTTTTCTAGTTTCAGGACAATAACTTGTGTGTAAGTGTATGGATCTTTATGAAATTGTACTGCAAGGTTCCATATCACAAAGGGAAAGCTGGGTTTGAGTTTGGGGGTAATTGCCCTAAACGTTTAGGAATTTGGGGCCAAAAAACAAGCATTTTTCTAGTTTCCAGACAATAACTTGTGTTCAAGTGTATGGATCTCTCTGAAATTGTACTGCAAGGTACCATACCACAAAGAGAAGGCTGGGATTGAGTTTGGGGGTGATGAATCATAAGGGGGTTCAAAATATTTGGGGGGGTGGGGATTTTTTTTTTCCTTTTTTTTTTGTTTAAAATTTTCCATTTTAAATTGGTTATTTCTGATTTATATATAAAAGCAAATAATAATGATATGGTTTGAATAGGTAAATTAAAAATTTTTTAAGTTCTTAGACCACTTTCATTCTGTGTCAGAAACTTATGCTGTGTCAAATATTTAATTACAATCCAAATTCAGTGCTGTATCAAGCTTGAATGTTGTGTCCATACTTGCCCCAACTGTTCAGGGTTCGACCTCTGCGGTCGTATCAAGCTGCCCCCAGCGAGCATTTTATTTTTAATAATTTTCTATTAACAGTGAAGAATTGTATTAATAGATTTGCAGGATGTGGGTCTGCATTTTAGTATAATTCACCATTGCAGAAACTAATGAATTCTGGTTAATATTTTCTAAATTCACTTGTAACTTGCTGGTTCTATTAGAGCTCTTTTCCAAATGCATGTAGTTTAAAGATTTGGTTGGCTTGCTTGCTTAATTTGTATAAATGTTTGCTCAAGCATTGTAATTAAGATTAACATCTGCAATCAATAGAAATGTGGGGCTTCAGCTTGTATACATTATACTCTGCATTATACTTAACATCCAATAACATTTAAGTATAATGTATACAAGCTGAAGCCCCGCCTATCTATTAATTGCAGATGTCAATCTTAATTACAATGCTTGAGCAAACATTCATACAGATAAAGTAGCAATCCAACCTAACCTTTAAACTACAAGCATTGGGAAAAAGATCTACAGCATGAGGAGTATTAAATTAAAGACAAAACTATGATACACGGGTGTAGAAATAAGTTAATATAAAAATTTCTGTGATTCCGAAAGAAGCAAAAGTACTTGAAAGTGCACTATGTAATTTTGAAAGATTTAACAACAAAAATATGGTGAGAGGAACATGAATAGCATAAACAATGTATTATTGATGTCAGAGTTAATATTTCTAGCAAAGAAGTATAGGAACTATTCTGTTACAGGTATGGACCGCCTGCAAGAACAGAGTACAGATTAATTGTAGAAAACCTTTCTTCAAGAGTAAGCTGGCAGGTATGTTTGTTATATCTGTAAACAAAATCTTTATGGTTATCCTAATTCATGTTATCTATGCTTTTGTTTTATTTACTCTCAATAGATTTTAGAGTCTTGAGAAAATTTTTGAAGATACTAGACCTTGTCATCGATAGAAAAATCAAACTTGTTTTCCTCTTTATATATATAATGAACCAAGACAGAAACTAATAAATCATTTAATGTTCAACACAAAATTGAACACTTTTCACTATCTTTATATTCCTTTTAAGATCAACACAAATAAAAAAATTCAAAAAGTATATTAAAAACAGCTGTTATTTTTATAAGGTGATAATGTTTTATCAGTCTTGTGAAATTAATGTCATAAATTTTTGTACCATGCTTTTCTTTCAATTTATTGAAAGAAATTCAGAAATCATTTGTTAAAGTGTAAATATATTCAATATTTGCAACATTTTAAAGGAATATACAGGTTGTGACATTTTACATATTCATGTTTCATACCTAAATAGTATTGTCTTCTCTCATAAGCGCCCTCAAAGGTGAGGTGGCAGGAGCATGATGAAGGACGAAGGGTCTAATCACAGCTTCCTCCCCAAAAGTGCCACAAGGAATGGGTACTTCAATGTGTTTCACTCTTGTTCTTGCTTATGATGTGTTGACTGTGAGACGAGGGGGTTTAGCTAGCTTGATGTTCATCCTTCAGAAGACAAAGAGGGTCCTACACGGATGGGAAAATCACGCTTTACATGACTAGCATGGTCAATCTTTGGAAAACAAAAAATGTGATGAATGCCAGTTGCTAAAGGTATCCATACATCCAGATTGGATAGTTCTTGCTATCTTCCCAAGTTCAGAAAAAGGGTAGAATACTGCTGCAATGTAATGATGAAATAAACAGAAGTACACTTGAAGTCCTGAAGCTCTCTCTAGCAAGGGTTCAATAATCTCTCAGGCGATGTCAGTTTCTATTCAGTAGAGGTAATTCTGTTATTAAATGATACACATCTATTTAACGTATGAAGAGTATAATGAAATAGTAAAAATAAAAACTATTGTGTTTCTTGTTGAACTTTCAAACCAAATGTTAATTATACCAATATGGATTTGAAATGTTGAAACATTTTGAAGAAAAGTATTACAGCAAAAGTTGTCCAAAACATACAAAAAGTGAAGAGGCATGTGTTTGTAAGGCTTTTTAGTGTACAGTTGTTTATCAATGTTATGATTAATTGATCTTTGTTGATTTACTTCATGTGGCAAATGTGTCAATGTCATTGATGCTTTTATTAAAAAATAAACAATTTGAGATTTGGAGACTTTGTGTAATATGTCAAATTGTAAAATTTCAAATTCTTTTATTAGTAAGCAGTTATATAATGATAGGTTTCCATAAAATATAAAAATCCTAAGTGTCAATTGTTATTGTTATGATTACTCTTGTGATTTCAAACATTTGCCAAAAAAAACTTAAAACTTGCCCTGCATTTAACAGTTAATTTAAACATAAAATTAAGTGTGCCTTACAACCACAAGCATATGAATTGATTCCATGAATTTGGCCTTCCATGAGAGCTTTGAATTCAAAACACCAAAAATAGTCAAGCAATGTAGTTGTTCCCATTCCCTAATATGCAGCCAGGACATTTGCAAGTTTCTATTTACAGTGATAGCTTAATAAAACCGGACACATTTTCAAGAACAAGGTATAAATATAGGTAGGTAGGTAGGTAGGTATAATGCAAAGTAATGTGGAAATTGAAAAGATATAATTTTGTAACTATGTATCTAACTTTGTTTTACTATTTACTTAAAAGGATTTGAAAGACTACATGAGACAGGCAGGAGAAGTCACATATGCTGATGCCCACAAGCAGCATAAAAATGAAGGGTAAGTCTATACAATTTGATTATTGGATGCATAATGTTGGTTTATTTAATACCTTGCAATACATTTTCTTGGTTTGCAGGAAAATTGTCATTTCAAGGTTATGGTTTAATAAATTGCTCCTTTTAAAGTGGATCAATTTTTTCAGGGTATTTAGATGAGTGGTTCCCCAATCAACAAAATTCATCATTAAATACACAGTATCCGATAACTTGAGCAGTATACCATATGATAGGATCTGCTATGTCTGTAAATCAACATATATTCCATTGTGGTTTTTTTTTAAACTTGAACCCAAAATGCTTTTTGTGAAATTAAATGTATGATCAATCTTCTGATTATCTGTAAATGAATTTTTTGTGGAGGGTTAACCTACCTACCTTTTAGTTGGTATTAGTTGTGTATATCACTTGCATTAAAGAAGGTCCTGCGAGTAAATTGAAATGAAAGGACAAAAATGCTGAATTTGTTTTTTGATTTTTAAATTTTAAGAGGATTTTGAGCGCAAACACTGGGTTACAAAACATTGGCAGCAATGCTGTACCATTTAAAGGAATGCATGTACAAGAATTGTTCATGCAAAGCTTTGGCATTTGAAAAGAGTTGTAAGGAACTTTTTAGTGGGTATGTAATTCTTTTGCAGTGTTGTTGAATTTTCCTCATACTCGGATATGAAGGCAGCTTTGGATAAATTAGACAATACAGAAATTAATGGTAGAAAAATCAAGTTGGTAGAAGACAGACCAAAAAGTAGTAGTAGAAGCAGTAGGAGGAGGTTTGTAGAACTTACATTGCAAAAAAAACTTGAAATTACATCTATTGGGATAGTTTGATATGTCTTATTAGTCCCCTACCGACGATGTTGAAAGGAACTTTAGGTTTGCATTCCGTCTGTCTGTCTGTCTGTCCATCCGTCAGTCAGGCTAATCAGTTTTCCACACTTTCTTTCGTCATGCTTGAAGATATTGATTTGATAATTAGTATATAGTTTTATCATGACAAGTTACAGTTCAAGCTCAAATTTTGTTCCGGTCTGATGATTTTGTGCAGAGTTATGGTCCTTGGACTTAGAAAATTCACTTAAATAATCAGTTTTCCACACTTTTTTTCGTCATGCTTGAAGACATTGATTTGATAATTTGTTTATAGTTTTATCATAACAAGTTACAGATCAAGTTCGAATTTTGTTCCGGTCTGATGATTTTGTGCAGAGTTATGATCCTTGGACTTAGAAAATTCCCTTAAATAATCAGTTTTCCATACTTTTTTTCGTCATGCTTGAAGATATTGACTTGATATTTGTTATATAGTTTACACCATGACAAGTTATAGATCAAGTTAGCATTTTGTACCAGTACAATGAACCGGTAGGGGACTGTATTGCTATGCAATACTCTCAGAATGCTTGTTTTGAATTATTTGTCTTTGTAAAGACAAATACAAATTATACAACAAATTTTAAATGCTCCACTGAGCTTTTTACAAACATAACACTTAGATAAGACATAGGATATACACAAGCATACAAACATGGTTATATACACACACAAGCATACAAATGGTAAATAGCTAAGCAAAATTTAATGAAAAAATTGTTATTAATGCTTAAAATGGCCAACATATTTAAAACTTAAGGCATCTTATTAAGCTTTATTGACTAAAATAAGGTATATTTTAGATTAACAAGTGACAAATACAGATTTTATCATTTACATGACACATGTGTTGTTTTTCATTTCATTGTAGTCTTCCTGTTGGTAGCTGCATTATAAAGATTTTTTATTGTGTTTTTAGCTCACCTGACCTGAAAGGTCAAGTGAGCTTTTCTCATCACTTTGCGTCCGTCATCCGTCGTCCTGCGTCCGTCGTCCGTCGTCCGTAAACTTTTACAAAAATCTTCTCCTCTGAAACTACTGGGCCAAATTTAACCAAACTTGGCCACAATCATCATTGGGGTATCTAGTTTTAAAAATGTGTGGCGTGACCCTGTCAACCAACCAAGATGGCCGCCACGGCTAAAAATAGAACATAGGGGTAAAATGCAGTTTTTAGCTTATAACTCAAAAACCAAAGCATTAAGAGCAAATCTGACATGGGGTAAAATTGTTCATCAGGTCAAGATCTATCTGCCCTGAAATTTTCAGATGAATCGGACAACCCGTTATTGGGTTGCTGCCCCTGAATTGGTAATTTTAAGGAAATTTGGCTGTTTTTGGTTATTATCTTGAATATTATTATAGATAGAGATAAACTGTAAACAGCAATAATGTTCAGCAAAGTAAGATTTACAAATAAGTCAATATAACCGAAATGGTCAGTTGACCCCTTTAGGAGAAATTGCCCTTTA